ATCAAAATTTCAAATATATTTATTGCAAAAAAATGTTAAGTCTAAGACTCATCTAAATTTGAAAGACCAAAAAAAAAAAAAAAAAAAAAAAAATTTTGAGACTGTGATGCATAGCGTTACCGCTTTCGTTTAATTTTCCCTAGCTTTCCGCTAGAGACAGAATGGAGAAAACGGTACCTGATTGTGATTAAACAAGATATACAAGCATCTGATGTCATGAGATTATTACAAAAGGCGGTTATAAAAATGCACGATAGCTACGAAGATGCGAATCCATTACTTAATTACTTACTTGTGCCTTTTACTCCGTCTGGGGCATGGGCCGTCCAGAAGTCTCCTTACAGGCAACTTTTTCATCCAATCGTAAAACTTCTTTTTTTTTGGTGTTAAATCCTTTATATTAAATTATATTGACTTCGCTTTTGTTCGTGGCTGGCTTGCAAAATCTTCGGACGGCTAATTGGTCCACTTCCCGTCAACCTATCGAGCTGAAACTCGGCACATAGACTCGTTGACGATGACAACATGTTCTGTCAAATTTTCATCCCCACCCCTCGAACCACCCCCCCCCCCCCCGGAAAAAAAAAAAAAAAGGTTTTCCTGTATTTTCAAGGAGAAGATGAAGGAAATATGATTAAACTGATTTTACTAAATAAAAATTGCGCTCAATGAGACAATCACAAGTGCGTTTCGTGGGTAATATTTTCTTCCGAAATAGTTGTTGAAATAAATCTGCGGTCTTAAAGCGGGCACGTCATTACAATATTAATATAGTTCAGTTGCATGGAGGAAAAAAGGTAGTTGTAATTCTTATTAAGTTTTTAACTTGTCTGTTTTTTACTTGTCTGTTTTTTACTTGTCTGTTTTTTACTTGTCTGTTTTTTTACTTGTCTGTTTTTTACTTGTCTGTATATTTTTTAACATTTTCAGCGCCACACCACCATGCCCCCCCCCCCACTCCCAAGTCGCTCGATATTACATTTTATAAAGGATTCGTAAGAAAAACTTTATTTTTTGGGGTTGTTTAATGCTTACTATTTTTTCCCCCCACTTTTAGCACTGACACAAATAAACTAATCTAAAATTGCTTACGCACTGTGTTTTTTAAGTGGTTGTCTTCGGAATTCTTGCTTCCGGCGTGGCCATCATGGTCTCAACCATCGGAGGTACTTTAACACAGGTGGGTTTCAATCAAAAGGTTATGTCATTTAATGCTCATTATTATATATTTTTGTAAAGATTCTGATCAGTAGGTGTGACCCCAGTGACGGTAAATTAGCAAACACAAAATGACGTCATAGCGCGATATCTTTGCATTACCCCCGTGATATATAAAATTACATTTAAAATAATCCCATAGATAGAAAAAAAAATATTTTTTCAAAATTCAAAATTTCATCTCTGATAAATATTACAATTGTGGTGTGACTGCTTCCATTTCCGGAGAGCGCGCAAAATATAATTGGTGTGTGTGTGTGTTTTGGGGGGGGGGGGCAGTTTTGTGCCCATAATGACATTTCTTAATATTCCAGATATCCGGAAGTTTGCTCTCAGCTTTCGCCGGGCCCTTGACAGGACTTTTCTTTCTCGGGAGTTTTTTCCCTCGGGTCAAGGCCAGTGTGAGTATTTGAGGTTTCTATCTTTAGAATGTTCCAAGTAAGATCAACGGTTAACTGCAAAACTTCCATATGTTAAACAAGAATGCCTGCATTTTTTTTAAAAAGGCGAATTCTTTGTTCTTTCAAAATATGGCGTATTTGGAAAATCTTGACGTGAACATTTGCCTGTCCATTAACTCAGGGCGCCATGGTGGGTGGCGTTATCGGAGTTACCTTCTCCTTCTGGTTATCCACTGGGATCACGTTTAATCGCTCCGTGAGGAAGACCCCTTGGCTGCCTCCTGCGTCGACGGAGTTCTGTCCCGTGGATGGCCCCATGAACAACGCGACGGACGTGCTGGGTAACTTTACCGACCCTTACGGTAACTTGACAAGCTTTTTCAGTAACTCCACAACCAGCCTGCCATTGTACACCACCATCTTGGCCAACACAACATTGCTTCCAGTGAGAGAGCCGTAAGTATACGCAACATTTTCCTCAGCTACTTGTTTTATTTTTATAGTCTTGAAAATAACCATGTCATATAATGTATAATCTGATAAGAATTCTGTCCCGTGGATGACCCCAATGGATTACCCCGTGAACAGCATGACGGACGCGTTCGGAAATTTTTCGGAGATTTGCAGTAATTTTACGACCAATCTGCCGACTTACGCAACCATCTTGGCTAACAGGATGTTAAGTCCATTGAGACAACTGTTAAGGGATTATACAAGATTCTGCCAAAGAACTGGTATCTGATTGCTCCAAAGCAGAAAATCAGCAACTTTTTTTTGTATGTGTATGAAGGAATGTAATTTAACAAATTTTTTTAAATATATATTTTTTTTTTTGCCAGGCCGCGTGATTTTTTTTAAATACGCCATGTAGGCCTACATCATATACGTCATATATGTCATAAAGGGCCTAAGTCATAACAGCATTTACGTCATACACGTTATAAACACTGCATGTACGCCATACACGTCACATACGTCATTAAAGATGGACTTCGAAGATAAGGCCCGAGTTCATTCGCACATAAGATGTCAATTGTAAATAATGTGTTTTATTGGCTGTGCACTGTGACTATGACCACAGGCGTCACTAGGTGTGGTGTTACATGGTGCAGTACCCCCCATCCCCCCCACCCACCCCCCCGCCGCCCAACTCTCTCCCCGGACCTGCAACTTGTTATTTTTAACCGGATCATACAGAATCGCTAATAGTATTAATTTGTGGATTCAGTCATGAGGAGGGAATGGCCGAAAAAAACCTCAAAAGAATAAATCATAGAATTTGAGCCAACAGCGTTTACAACTGCATTATAAAATGTATCTTTTTATTGGGACATTAAACTTAACAGTCCAAACTTTCCTTTCCTGCTATTCAAAGATGCACTATTATTATTATTCGTCCGTCGAGGATCGACGAGGACCATCAAGTCGTCTGGTGACTGATGACTTGCGCGGATGACTTTGTTTAAAGTGAAGAAGAGTTGCGCGGCGTCTACCTCACTCTCTCGTCCGAGCCCACCATCCATATCCAGTGGCAAGACTCTACGTCAAGACGACCAGGGATGGGTACGGTTGCAGGAATTGTCATTGTTTTGCGCCTTACGGGACTCTAACTCCGGGTTTGAATTCAGAGTTAGATGAGTTGCCGACCAAGGTTAACGAGTCTCATCCACCCGGGGTGATGTCTTTGCTTGACTGGTCTTTGGCTGGACTTGAACACCAGACCACCACTTGAGGTTTGCTCAGTTTAGACCATTTGGCCACCCAGTCACCATTCAAAGATGCAAATCTATCAATCACTTCATCAAAGTTGGCATTCTTCACCTTAGAATCACTTTCAACCGACAAAACCGAAAGACCAGAAAGACTGGGCTGTTTGAAATTAGAACGCAAAGAGCTCTTTAGAAAGTTCATCCAAATGTAAAATTTACTGTATTAAATTTTTAAAAAAAAAATGTTTTATACACGTGACCCCATTTGAAACGTTTCATGTGGTTGCTACAGAGAAGGCATTGAGAAGCTGTACACTCTCTCCTACAACTGGATTTCTGTGTTGGGTACCCTGACTACGGTTGCCGTGGCAATGGTCTTCAGTCTAGTTACCGGTACGTCAATCTCTGATAGCATTCGTTCATGACATACAATAATGTCTAAATATTTTAGTGTGTTCTTACAATAGTTATTTTTTCTCTTAAATAGTTGTTTTCTTAAAAAAGATGTGTTCCTGAAAATAGATGTGTTCCTGAAAATAGATATGTTCCTGAAAATAGATGTGTTCCTCAGAATAGTTGTGTGCCTTAAAATAGCTGTGTGCTGCTTAAAATATCCAATCGCTGTTTGATAGGCACCAACAAACCAGGGGATGTAGATCCACGTTACCTCATCAGTATGTCCGGCGTCCTGTTGATTTGTCTCCCTTCCAGGCTAAAGAAATACATCCGCTCCATTGGTCCACAATACATCAAGGAAGAATACAAAGTACTGTAAATTATGTTACTTGAGTTTAAATGTTGAAGGGCAGATGACTTTATTTTGTTAACAATTTTTTATATGACGCTTCTTGAAGTTTAGTGATGTCTGGAAATCACTTAAAATTTTAAACAAAAAAGTTAGTTTCATTTTTAACCATTCCCAATTGCAACGATGTTCATTTATGCCCTTTTAACAGGAAAAGTTCCGTGACCCGTCCGAGCATGCCCTGATGCTTAAAAACGCCACTGACATTAAGATCACGGTCAATGTCGTGACTTCTGATGACAACAACAATATAGCTCTTCAGTCCTTCCCAAACGGTGACAACGCCAAAATTAATGACACAGAATTTAATTCCGTTCCTGGCGGTATGACTGATGGCAAAAACTTGGACACGTTTGAACCCGGTGTTGAAGCAAAAGCCGATCTTTCTCCAGATGGCGCCACTGCCGGTGACGTTAAAAGAGATGAAGATGATCAATAATGAAGTTACGTTGATCAACAAGAGGAAAAAGTGGCCACCCCAAAGGACTAAAACAGGTCTTCTTTAGGAGACAAATGGACCAGTAACCTTAACCAAAAAAATAATTGCAAGTTATAAAATGCTTTTACAATTTATCACAGTAACAAAGATGATGGGTGCACTTAAATTAAATTTGAAATGCGTCTTGAGGTGCCGGTAGCTGGTCCCCGAAGCAGGCTACACCAAAGATTCTCTATAGAAAAGGCTGTGTGTCAATGTTTATATAAGCTTCTCATCTACCATTTTCTAGTCTGCTCGACTATGAAATTAAAATCAGCTATTTTATCAGATCTCGCTTTGCAACTTCTCAGGCCAGTGCGCATCTAATCTGAAAGATTACTTCTTACACCCCAAACAAACACAAATGTCCAAGGGAAAAAAACACCATTTAATTTAAAATATTTCTTGTATTTATTCATTTTTGTGGATCATTGTGAAATGTTATTGCTATTAAATATTTCAGGAGTCAACAGATTTCCCTTGTGTTGCCTCCTACCCTATTTGAAGTAAAGGTCTATCTTTTAGATCTCTTAAATTGAATTTATTTTACAATGACAAAATCTAGGTGCTAGTATTTAAATTCATCTATCATGAATTATGATGGGACGAAACCAAAGACAGCATGACCATGACCTAACTGTCCCAGGGTGATCTCAGAGCCCGAGTGCTCAACAATCTCAAGTCAGTCTGGAGACTGCGTCAGGTCTGCTGCTGATGGTAGTAGACTTTACCCAATGGCCTCATTAATATCAGACCCTAATCTGTTGACAGACCTGGGCATTGCTTTAAGGTGAAGAGTTGATTATTAAGTTAATGTACAATTCATCCAAAGGGTGGCTATTAATAAATCCATTATATAAAACAAGTTCTGTTAGCATTAAAGTTCAGCAGATAAAAATCAATTTGCCAAGATGCAGTTGAATAATAAAAAGAAATCACCAAATTAAAGTTGCAAACATCGTCCGAGTGTCTGTCTAACTGCTCAGAACTTTAAAAAAATATTCAGTCTGAAATAAATAAAAATAGACAAAAAAATCTTATTAACAATTTCAAGGTTTTGATCATCAGTGGAGTAAAAATTAACAGCCTTAACCACCCCAAACATAAAAATTATCTACCCCCACCCCCTAAAAAAATATTAAGTCTGAAAAAAATAAAAATAGACAAAAAAATCTTATTAACAATTTCAAGGTTTTGATCATCAGTGGAGTAAAAATTAACAGCCTTAACCACCCCAAACATAAAAATTATCCCCCCCCCCCCCCCCACTTTAAATTTAGTGAGACTAACGCACTTAAGGAAACAAATATAAAATGAACAGGGTTTTCTATTTAGTATTTAATATGGGGGCTGGAAAAACCCAATGTCCTTTATAACAATCCATGCCATTGACTTGAGTCTGAATGGTCCTTTTGCTTCACCGTACTTAAAAAAAAAATCAAGAAATTTAAAAACACTTTAAAAGATTTATATCTACCTCTAAGGGTCCATCTTCTGGAAGATCAGTGCAGTGGACAGCATTCTGGATTTTGTTAATTCCAAATAAGGCCCGAAGTGTTCTTGGACGAAGTTGGCGAGCGATTTCCTGTCAATAAAAAATAAACGAAACAATAAACAAAACAATAAACGAAACAATAAGTTGGCAAAGACTCCACTTTTTGTCTTACAATCCAACCAAATGACAGAGGTATAGTCATATCAGGTTGCATCAGGATGCTGACCTGTCAAGTCAGGATGCACCAGGATGCTGACCTGTCATGTCAGGGTGCACAAGGATGCTGACCTGTCATGTCAGGGTGCACCCGGATGCTGACCTGTCATGTCAGGGTGCACAAGGATGCTGACCTGTCATGTCAGGGTGCACAAGGATGCTGACCTGTCAAGTCAGGGTGCACCAGGATGCTGACTTGTCATGTCAGGGTGCACAAGGATGCTGACCTGTCAAGTCAGGGTGCACCAGGATGCTGACCTGTCATGTCAGGGTGCACAAGGATGCTGACCTGTCAAGTCAGGGTGCACCAGGATGCTGACCTGTCATGTCAGGGTGAACCAGTTTAGGATGCTGACCTGTCATGTCAGGGGGCACAAGGATGCTGAACTGTCAAGTCAGGGTGCACCAGGATGCTGACCTGTCATGTCAGGGTGCACCAAGATGGTGACCTGTCATGTCAGGGCGCACCAGGTTGCTGAACTGGTATTTTTTTATATAAAGAGATTGTGTTCTGCCTGATAAATTGACAGTAAATGTTTAGGTTTTGTGTGTCAGGGACTCAGTGACTATTTATCATCTTTCTGCTAAGGGTATATGTTACCTGTATGTAATTAGTTTCAAATGAAAATAATAAAATTTATCAATTAACATGCTGTATCAAAAACTTATCAAAAACACAGTACCGGTAGGATGCGATTTAAATTCAATATGTGTTGAAGTAGACAAGATTGATGCAATCATTTACCCTGCACCATTTAATGATGTTATAGAAAATTTTGCTACGTATTTTGTTCTCATCAGCTCGTAAACAACATATAGAGTTAAACTTTAATGTTATTATTTGATTATTTTTTTTTTACTTCAATTCACTTTTTTTTTTTTTTTTTTTTTTTTTTTTTTTTTTTTATTTTTTTTTTTTTTTTTTTTTTTTTTTTTTTTTTTTCAAATAGGCTAAACCAAACTTGAAACTCTTATACCATTTTCACTTTAGATTGATAACATGAATTAGTTAAAGCCCATATCTTTTAAGCTCTAACAAAATAATGACTCTGCAGACCTGCTTTCTATGAGGCACCACACCAATTTAATTCCTAGCCACACCCGGAGTTGGGGTGGTGGGTGGGGTGGACCTCTGCTCTGGATAAATAAACTAATGTTTAGATTTGGATCAAACTTACGGGGTCCATGGGTCCGCATAGCTCACGAAAAGATTCTGCAATATGTTCACTGGAAGATTTCCCTAATATCTCCATAGCGATGACTGGTCCAGAGGACAGCTCATTCACCATTCCTGGATACTCATGGACAACACCTTTGTATACCTGTAAACAAGAAATAAAAAATGTTAGCATGGGGTCATTTTGCATACATATTTTAACACATATATTTAAATTTGTGAGGTTGTCAAGTGATCATTACTGATATACTTAATTTGTCCACACTCAGTTGTGTAGATGTGTGGGGAGTTTGGCTGATTTATTCAACACATAGTCGGTTTTAAACAAGATGATGTTGTTTTGAAAATAACATTAAAAATAAGAGAAAAGGTTTTAGTTTCTCCACCAGCTCTTATTTACTAAAAGATTAGTTGACATTTCCAGGACTTGGTGTGACCCTGTGCTCAGAGGCGTAGTGAGAATGTTTGGCACCCCGGGGGACAAGATTCGCGACAAGGGACAAGATTAATTTTAAAGCGCCCCCCCCCCCACTTCTTTTTTCAACTCTCAAACCCATTATTTTCATCAATAAAATAATATCAAAGGCACATTTTGGCCCTATTTCCAGGACTTGGTGTGTCCCTGTGCTCCGAGGCGTAGTGAGAATGTTTGGCACCCCGGGGGACAAGATTCGCGACAAGGGACAAGATTAATTTTAAGCGCCCCCCCCCCCACTTCTTTTTTCAACTCTCAAACCCATTATTTTCATCAATAAAATAATATCAAAGGCACATTTTGGCCCCCCTTACTAGCGGGTGCCCGGGGACATCTGTCACCCTCCCCCCTCTGCCATCCCCTTCTCTACGCCTCTGGCTGGGCTTATCTCATAAGCAGGATATTTATTTATATGCTAATTTTATATGTATGCAATTAACTTTTAAAAAAATGTACACCTCATAAAATTCTTCTGCGTTGGCTTTCTCCAAGTGGAACATCTGAATTGTGTTGACCAGGAACCCTGAGTCTTGAATGACATTGATGATCTTGCCAGCTATGCCTGACATAAACAGCAAAATTACCACTATTAATCTAAAAGTTTTAAGTTTCTCTTGTAAAACACTTCTCTGAATTTTTTTCATAGAAAATTATCTACACATTTTGTTCTGATCAGCAAGTAAACTTCAAAGATCAAGAAATAGAAATTTAATCATTTGAACAGTTCTTCCACATCATGTCCACAGCTTTGATTGATCTCATTTTGATTTGGATTTTTTTTGTTCAAATCTCTGAGTCTAGAGACAGAAAATTTAAGAAAAAGCCCGAAACATCAGAAATATCAGTGTCATGGGTCTACTTGGGCTGTATCAGAAATATCAGTGTCATAGGTCTACTTGGGCTATATCAGAAATATCAGTGTTATGGGTCTACTTGGGCTATATCAGAAATATCAGTGTCATGGGTCTATTGGGCTATATCAGAAATATCAGTGTCATGGGTCTACTTGGGCTAAATTAGAAATATCAGTGTCATGGGTCTACTTGGGCTATATCAGAAATATCAGTGTCATAGGTCTACTTGGGCTATATCAGAAATATCAGTGTCATGGGTCTACTTGGGTTATATCAGAAATATCAGTGTCATGGGTCTACTTGGGCTATATCAGAAATATCAGTGTCATAGGTCTACTTGGGCTATATCAGAAATATCATCATATCAGTGTCATGGGTCTACTTGGGCTATATCAGACATATCAGTGTCATAGGTCTATTTGAGCTATATCAGAAATATCAGTGTCATAGGTCTACTTATTTTTTAATCACAGTACAAAACAACTGCTACTTGCTATCATACCTGGAAATTTATAGAACAGAATGAAACTCAAACCCCTATTGTGCTTTTTATAAAATAATCTACAGAAATAAAAGAATGGTCAAGGCTGCCAACCACACCTCATGCTTTGATCTCCCTCCCCCCAGTATTGACACAGTGAAGTGCCAAACACATGCTCCATTCAGATGTTTAGGGTGCTGAAAGGATGAGGAAAAAATATGTATGGTCTAAACTCTCCCCCGTGTCCATCCACTATTTCTTTGGTTCTATGCTCCCCAACTTGGTCTACGACCAAAGGTTTCTCATACCTTATAATTTGTTGATATTTCATCTTTCTGACCATCAAGCAGCAAGGGATAACTTCCAAATTGTATGGGCTTACCAGCTTTGACAGCATGCGGCTTGATAAGGCACAGGCTGCAGTCAGATCCCCTAACACAGTTTGAGAATGTCTGTTTGTTGCAGGATGGAAAGAAAAATTCAATTTCTCTGGCTGCTGAGGCTGGGCTGTCTGATCCATGTACAGAGTTGTGGGTTACATCTGCAATGAAATTATCACACTAACTAAGAGAAAAATGAAATACTTGTGTGTTAAAGGCAAACGAAACGATTGTTACAATTTTTTCATGAGATTGTGTGTTTACCCACATAAAACTATCTCTCAAAAAATTTTAATCTTCTTTTTAAGAGTAAACATGTATGAAACATTCGAGGCTGAAAACATTTTTTTTGCATTTCCCGGGAGGACTTGAAAATAATATTTGGTTAAATTTCAAATGTACCACTGACAATTACCTTTCCCAAATCGAGCTCTCAATGAAGACGATGCCTCCGATCTTGCTTTAGATGGGTCAGTGGGACCTATCAGCTCGCGCCACCTCTGAATAGCATTCTCTCCAACCAACTCCATGGCTATGATGGGCCCGCTTGTTACATAGTTCATCAGGGAACTGAAGCAATTCAAAGAGTGACATTATTGTTCTGTTTTTTTTTCCACAACCTAAGTAATGGGCTTTTTTTTAAAATTGTCTCCAAATAAAGCTGATGTACAAGGGAAAAAAAGTATTGAAGAGGCAAGACTGCAATCAGGCTAGGTAAAAGTTAAAAGGAAATGAGCAAAAGTATGTGAAAACCTGAAAAAAAGGGGGCGCAACAAATCAACGGAGCCTTTTCCGCAAACTAATAACAGTAAAAACAATATAAGATATAAATAAACACTTTGCTGTAAAGTAATATCCAATAGGACAAGAGAATTTAAGTTACAGATATATTAAACAATTGAGAACTTCAACTACTTAATTTTTTATGGTGTATAATTTCTAATTGCAAAAAAAAAGCTATTTTTAAGTTTATAGCATTTGAGCATTAGTTTAATGCAGTTTCATAGTGTTTTTGGTCTATAACAATCATCGTATCAGGGTATATAATATATCAGAGTTAACAAAAACTTTTACTTTCATATCAGGTTTTAGAAACATAATTTTTTAAAAATAATAAAATAGCATTTTAACTAATGGAATAGGATGACTTTAAAATTGGGAACAGTTGCGTAAACAAATTTAAAAAAATGTACCTTAATATAAAAGAGTGGAAAAAAAACTTGTTTTGCTATACATGTTTGCAAACACTGCACATGAACTACATAGATTATACCTTTGGGCATAGTACTTTCCAGGCCACACTTATAGTGCAAAAATCATTTGTCTAATTGCATTTAATAAAAAAAAACAACGTTTTGTCCTTACTTCATGAAGCTCTTGCCACTGTGCTCCTGGTAGAAGTTAAAAGCATCATTGTGCTCAAGTTTACAGAGCCTCAGCTTGGAGATGAGAAGACCTCGGTCATAGATGGCTGAAATGATGTCCCCCATTTTGTCTACTGTGTCTGGTTTGATGAATCCAAGAGTTCTTAAAGGACAAAAAGAAATTAGAATTACTTAAAGATAAAAAATTTATAAAATGTATTTGAAAATCAATTATTCAGTTTTAGATTTCGTTAAAAATATCCCAATGGGCTGATGAATTCTGTCTCAAATATATGATTGCATAAAACATATTTCCTGTCAACTAGTTCTGTGGAGTCAATTGATATCTCTCATTTAATAATCTTTTTTTAAGAGCTAATATAATAAACCTGTAAAAAAATTTTAACCTATCAGAATACCTTTCAAGTTTGCTCATTAGCTTTCTCTTTGTAAACTCATCACCAAATTCTACAATGGTCAACTGTCTGCCTAATACATTAATTGATGCACCAATGTAAAGATCCTGCAGTTCTATTGGAGAAGAGGCCAGGTTGGTCTTCAGGAACATTTTGCGTGTTTTAATGTCAAACTTGAAGAAAGAAAAAACATTTCTGTACATAGTTCATAATCAATATAGGAGTACTAGTATTATTAAAAAATTCATTCAACTAAAGCTGATGTAGATTTGGAAAAAAATGTATTAATACCCTTAAACAGTCATAATTTAAAACCTTTAGACCATGAAAAATTATATAATCCATTTGATAGCTTGATAAATGCCAAAACATGTATGACAGTTTTAATTGTGACATTTGGTCCTAATAAATGATGGTAAAATAATTTTAGATTATGAAATGAAATGAGAAAGCATTTTATGAAATGACAATCTATTTTTCACTCTTAAATTTCCAACTGCTTTAAAACATATTTTTCAGAATTTGTTTTGGAATTTTCTCTATGTGTCATAAAAAATATAATACAACTATTGCTTATGTCTAATAATGATGTTTTTCTTGGGTTTTCTTTGTTAATGAATATTTTAGTTGTTATTAATTAAAGAAATTGAATTGCAACACTTTGCTGATTTATTAAATTCGTATATAACATTCATATCAATTTCATTAAAAATCTAATAATTTTTTTTGTTTTAAAACTTATTATTAACATGACAGTGATAATCCTCTTTACCATTTCTATGCTTTTGCTTCCACTGAAATAGAAAAACTGAAATGTTCTTGTTCTGCATGCTGGTTCTTCATACCATTCAACAAAAAATGCAAAGCGTGTATCATCTGCCTGTGCATAAAATGTAAAAAAAAATAATTTTTAAATTGTTAACAATTATACCACCCAATCTAACCACCCACCCACCTACCCATGGTCACAGCAATAAAAATGGGAGACTGCACTAGCCAGGACATATCAAGAGGATGGCAGATTGTAGGGCAGCAAAAGTGATCTACAGGGAGAAACCTAGGGGCAGACGGCTCACTGGTCGACCAAGATTGAGATGGATCAATAATGTAGAGAAGGACTTACACCAGCTAGGGTTTCACGCATGGAGGGGGAAAGCCATGTATCAATCCGAATGGAAGAATGTGGTGGAGCAGGCTCATATGGGCTCTAGTGCCATTGATGATGATTTTACAATTATACATTAAGTTTTAGTCAAGAGTATTACCAGAAATGTAATGCCATGATAAGTAAAATCTTATACGTTGAATGGATTTACTTCCTTGTTCTGTAAAACTTCAAGGTTTAAACATATATTTTTAACTTTTTTTTTAACCTCACTTAAGTTTTGAGGTTCATTGGCTTCACAAGACATGTCAATTGTGACCAATCAATAACTAAAAATGTTAAGAACTCCTGGTATATTTCAAAAACAGTTCTCAGTCAGGAATATTATTTTTTAATTAATTAAGTTTTTAAATCTAGATTTACTGAATCCAAAGAAATGTTGTATTTTTTTTTAAATTTGAAGTGAACCAGCTAATTATTTGAAAGGGTGCAGCTTATAACCATGATAATATCATTCTATCTATAGTCTATACTTACCCATCTAGGTAAATTAATCAGCAAATATAAATGAAATTCATATTATTTTTTTATAGCAATGTATTAATAGAAATAATAAAACAAATATATAGTTTACTTTATACCAATGGCATAACTAGGTTTAGTGTCACCCGGAGCATGAGAATTCCCCCCCCCCCACCCCTTTTTTTTCCATGAGAAAGTAGGCCAAAAATGCTGCACTACTATTTTTTTTAAAATGTGTCATCCAGGGTGGACCACCTCCTTCACACCTCCCTTCCTATGCCATTTTTTATCCATGTTATGCCTACGCCATTCAAAATAATTTTTCTTTTTAAAAAATTGTGATCTAATATATGTTGGAGGTGACATCAGTTTTTATTTTTTTTTTCACATTTGTAGAATTAAATAGAGACCAAAAATAAATTTTGAAACTATTTTTTTCTTTCATTTGTGATGAGCATTTTGAGATGGGGGAAGGGACATAAAAATTGGTATCAAAAGATTGTTCAGCTTATTAGATTCTCTGACATTGTCAGTACTTCAACTGTGATTTAACTCTTCAAAGGGGGAGTATTAGCCTATATTTGGTTAAATATAATAGCAATGACATGCAGTGAAGGTGTTAGTTGGGAGTATACTTACGCCAAAAGTTATCCTTATAACTACAAGTATATGACCAACTTAGGTTTGGAATTATCATAATGTTAATACTAAATTATTTGGAACTAGGTCTAGGAGCCAGCAGAAAGGTCAACCCTAAATACTAATATCGATAATCAAATAATGATTTGCTGGATTTTCAGATCAGATTGTAATCAATTGATTAATCATTTTCATTAAGGTTTTTCTGAAATCAAGAATCAGATCACCATATTTAAGCATACTTAACATTTCAGCATATCTGAAACACTCAACTTTAGGTTAAATTTAGGTAATAACAAATTTAAATAAATATTTTATTCCATAGTAACATTATTTCAAAATATGGGTAGGTCTTGCACTTTGGCATCAGCACTTGGCTGTGGTAACTTAAGTTTGAGTCACTTGACTTGACTTAAGTTAAGCTTGATCATTTTTTAAAAGTTTATATTGCAAGTGAGAGTAATTTTATAATTTTAATTAGTCTTGTACTACTTTACTAGGCACTAGGCCTATTACCTAGCTGTGAGTATGAGCACAATATATAAATAAGTTTAACAGTTAGTGAGTTAGTTTAATTATAATTCATTAAATTATTCATTAAAAAATATAGTTATAGTCTAAGTATAGGATCTAAAATATAGATATACATTTAAGGCATATTTTGCAATAATTGTATACAAATCACTATATCAGAAGTCCTATTAATATTATTAACTCGATTGTATGGTAGAGGTATGGTTGTCGTAGGATAAGGTCATGTGGTCGGGATGTATGCAATGCAAGCAAAGAAACCAACATAAAAATAAAATTAATATGAAATAACATCTTAACATGATGTCCTTGGTATAAGAAGACTATAGTTATAGTCTATACCAAAAATACTAGAGCTTTATTCTGAAAACACATATACCATTTTCAAAACTAATGTTCCACAACTCAAGATATAAGAAAGTTGTCAATAATGACTCTTGAAGCAAGACTTGTTGTAGCAACAGTAAATATTATCGCGGTGAAAATATTTCAGTGGTGCTGATTGGTTGAAACAACTAAGGTCTTTGGAGATCATACAAAATTACGACCAAAACCGAAAAGATTTTTTTTCTTTCTAAAAGGATGAAATCCGGGAATTGCAATTCACTACAAATTAAAAGTGATTTTTAATCTGTTATAACTTATATACCTAGTGCAAACTTTACATAAATATAAATTAATTGATACAAATATGATTTAATTAGAATAAGCACACATTGTCGATTTTCAAACTTATTTCAAGTTGAAATTTTTAACAAAAACCATCTAAATTCAATTGACTGAAGAGCTCGCAGAGAGGCCAAGAGTTGAGCATCACTTTGGGAAAATTGATCGATCGTAGGCCCAGAGGCGTAGCGAGGTGGGGCAGGGGGGGGGACATATTCCCCGGGCGCCAAAATGTGTTTTGATATTATTTTATTTATGAAAATAATGAGTTTGAGAGTTGAAAAAAGAAAAAGGAGCGCTTTAAAATGGATCTTGTCCCCGGGCGCGAATCTTGTCCCCGGGCGCCAAAACCCTCGCTACGCCTCTGCGTAGGCCTATGCTCTTTAACAAATAATTAACATAAAAGTGCCATGGCGTTTAAATTCCCGAAAAAGCAGAAAGTTTGGTCAAGATTATGAGTTTGTGTGTTGAGGTCAGCACAAGAATATCCGATGAACCTAAGAAAATAACATTAAGGAACCCCCATTACACACTCTCTTCTACTTCTCTCATTCTTCCTTTCTCTCTCTCATTCTCCCTGCACTCTCTCTCTCTCTAACTCTCTCTCTCTCTCCCACACATACAGTGCCAGATTAACCTGAAGGCAAACGAGGAACGTGGTCACTGCTAAGGGGCCCCAAGCCTCTTTGAGGCTCCTCGACAAAGAATTCTTATTTTTTAATGGACGTGATTTTGAAAAAAGTCTCAACATCTTGACAAAACAAGTTATAGAGGAATAAATTAAAAAGGAAGAAAATAAAACGCCGAACATTTTCCTGGTAGGCACGAGCGTCATTTCAGTTATTTTTTCAAAAGTGGGTTTGGGGGGGGGGGGCAAAAAAAAAACTTTTTCAGCTTGTTAAGTTGTTTATTACTGGAGGCACCACATTACTTAGCAATTTAAATAAAACCTGCAAATTCGGGGGGGGGGGGGGGGTGGCCCTACCCTGCACTACTCAGATAACGTACCTGCTGGTATAGTAATTAGTAGTATCAAAGGGCGGCTTTTGAGTGACTGGCAGCATGTGCTGACAGGAGAGATGATAGAAAAACTTCTGGTAGGTCATTAATGCTTGAAAAGATACAACAAAAGAGATGAGATCTTTGAAACATTCAAATAATATACACCAAAACAACAAATATTTTTTCTTTTCAAAACTTAAAAACAAAATTTCTATTAAAAACTCACTAAAATGTATAAAATATGTTAACAAAATAAATTTAAAAACCTGGGTTGAAAAGATTTAAAATATTCCACTGTTCCACCCCTCCTCTTTTTCGATGGCATGATACCATTGGGGCCGTCCATAAAGTACGTCACGCTCCAGAGGGGGGGAGGGGGTGTACGAAAGTGTGGCAGTTTGTGACAGGGGGGAGGGGGCAGTGGCGACGCCATCAAATTTAACATGGCGGGTCCCTTGCAGATCTTAAAAAAATTAGGCGGGTCCCAAATTAATGTATTAAAAATAAAATTTATTTATTAAGTAATATTTATTAATCTACTAAATTAACCCAAAGTTTACATACATTGTCAATTTTATGAGTTATATTTACTTTTGTTGACGATAAAAATGTAAACATATAAAGGCATTTAAAATGGAAGTTCTCTTACAAGTAATGTAGTTTACGCTTAATGAGCATATATACAATATTAGTAACTAATACAAATTTACCAGGTCATTTGCCAGGTCCCAAGTTTTTTCTACCAGGTTCTGGGACCCGGCGGGACCTGGTGTAGCGTCGCCACTGGGGGGGGGGGGGGGGGGCCCTGTGTGACGGCACACATTTTTTTTTTTTCATTTTTAGTTCTTATTTTTTTTTTAGTAGAATTTAATAGCTTTAAAAATAATATTCAAACATTTTGTTAAACATTTGAATTATTTTTATGTCAAAATAGAATAAAATGCATATCTCCTGAACGTGTTGCTCACGATTCCTCTCGCAAGTTTACTTGATCGAATTTGCAAAGTATGTCACTTATAATTTGCCTCACAAACAATGTCGAAGAAACATGCAGGACACTACAGAGCTCGGGCTCGGGAGAATGTGCCGACCCAAACTGTTCCAGAATCAACTCAGATAAAACGCATCAGTCTTTTGAGAATCGTTGCTAGCAGGCAAAGAGAACTCAGGGCAGTTATTGCCAGAAGAGAAAGTGCACATTCAGAGGATGTTGAGTGGCTATATGAGAATGAAGTTGATCTGTCTGCAAATTTCCTTCCAGGAAACGATGATGGTGAAAGATTGATGCCAGTCGTAAATATGGATGACACTTCACTCCACCATGGATGGATGATGTCCAGTGAATATTTTTTTTAATTACACATAATTCACAGGCCCATAATAAACAAATTAAACATACCACAAGAGTTTGTCACATAATTTGTCAATCTAGTATTTTTTTAGTCAAATTGTTTTGTTTCCTTTTTATTATTTAATCACTGGGTGAGGTCAAGTTTCGCTAATTTATTTCTTATCCTGTGTAAAAAAGATTGCATAATCGGAAATTATCTAAAACTTGAACTCATCTTTTGTAAATGAAAAAGCAGCAGATAAATGATTAGTATTATATAATTGTCTAGTCTAATTTTTGCAATTTTTGTTTTCAAATTCAATCTAGATTGAGTTACTGCTTCAATGAATAATTGTGACAACTGTTGACAATTAACTATTCTACTATTAAAGTACTTTTAATAATGTGATAGTTCTTTTAAGTGGACATTTTATATTTGAATACAGTTTAATATTGAAGTGCGTTTTATATTAAATTTTAATTAGGTGTCAATTTTGTTCGAAAGTGTGACGTACTTTGGGGGGGGGGGGTTCCGATATTTGTGACAGCTTGTGACAGGGGGGGGGGGGGGTAAGAAATGGTCAAAAATAGCAGGACGTACTTTATGGCTTATGGACGGCCCCATATTAGGATGGTCCCTTAAAAAATTAAACTAGACATAAATTTAATAATTAGGTGTCAATTTTGTTCGAAAGTGTGACGTACTTTGGGGGGGGGGGGTTCCGATATTTGTGACAGCTTGTGACAGGGGGGAGGGGGGGTAAGAAATGGTCAAAAATAGCATGACGTACTTTATGGCTTATGGACGGCCCCATATTAGGATGGTCCCTTAAAAAATTAAACTAGACATAAATTTAAGTACAGTTTATTAAATTGACTTTATGTTGGTGTACCCATTATGTTTTAGATTATTAAAGTCATGTTTTCAAAAATTATTTTAGACACTTTTTTCTGTAAATCAATTTCAACTTCCATTTGTTTCTTTAATTTTAAAAAGAGACCTTGAGATGTTATATCTTTGAAATACATCACTTTACTGCCATTTCTCGGTGGAATAAAAAGGTTACGGGACTTTTAAAATGATGTTAGTGTAATAAAAGGAACAAATATATTATACATTTGTAAGGAAGTATTATTTGTTTAATAAGCCTAACAACTAAACACAAAAGAAAACCACTGAAATTAAATTATAGTAAATTTTAAATTGGTCTTTTCATTTTTTGAAAGTGTAAAAACATTAGTTACTAGTGATGTATATTCAAAGAATAATTAACATCGATTAGTTATAATTCAAATACATACGTTACATAGCCTATTTTCGATAACTCTTTTTGTTTGACTGTTTGGTGATGTTACCTAACTGACGTTTTTTATTAGCAAAATTGATTAATAATTAGTAATACAGGCTATAGACAGCATACTAGTAATATACTACTATAGGTAATAGGATTACGTCTAAGGTGGTAATCCCTTATTTTTAGGGCAAAAAAAAATAATACCACCTAGCTAGGACTAGGAGTTGAGTAACATTTTTATACTTTTTTTTACCGACTTGTACTTATGTTTAATAAAAATAACAAATAATGTTATTTACTAAATTTTACGGTGTGATTCAATGATTGACGCCAATCCAATACTGAAACTGAAGCCCTATAATTCATAACATACATATTACTATTACTAAATTAGTATTACTAACTAGGCCTATATAAATATATAAATAATGTAATAATAATATTTAATATATAATTTATGTTTACAGACCTAGTATTTAGGGGCTTAAAGTAAATGATAAACCATTGTGAAACCTTGTCCACTTTCAAAAAGTCCCTTAAAACCCATCTGTTTAGGTCCGCCTATGACCTGTGATGCACCCTCCTTGCCCTGCCTCATTTTCTGTCTCGGGTTGATCCTGTATTTAAGTATATGCCGCTAAAACGTGCCAAATGTACTTGTTTTTATAGCCATTTTAATGTTTTAGCTACTGTTTTCATTGTCATTTTTCACATTGTAGTTACTATTCTAGTGTCTCTGGTTTTTCATTTTTATTTTACTTTTGCAGTTTAAATAGTTTACATATTTTTAATAATTGTAAAGCGCTTAGAGCTGTAAGGTAAGCGCTATACAAAAATTCCTAAATAATAATAATATATAAAAATATTATCAAGGCACTTAAGGGGCTTAATAGTAGTAGCAGGACAGTGATACCATGCATTCTGATCTATAGACCGAGTGTCTAAAAATGCAAGTGACAATGATAACAAAAATTAATCCTGAATTATATATATTTATTATATACTGATTTTGATGTTGTAGTTTATACACAACAACCCATAAGCCTTGAAAAAATGTTGGTTGTCAGAGTCCTTTTGCCCGACCCCTGCCCCTACACTGTTACTTATGGCTCCGTTGTCTAAGATGACAATATTACACAGCAGCACTGTACTCTTATAGACTCACACACACACCAAAGACTCTATGCGCCAACATTTCATAAAATAATACTGTTCATCTTTAATATACTGTCTGAGGCAGTAATGTAAATAATACCAGTATTGTATTGTACACAATTCATCAATTCACAATCCGCAACATTAAAAAATGGCGGAGTCTATTACATGACTATTGAATTCATTCAAGCTGACTTAAACTAACTACCTGACCTCTCTCTTTATACGTATGGGGAACTCTTAACTGTCTAACCTTAATACCGACCACACTTGTTTATTTTTCATTACCTTTCATCGAATACCAATTTAGATATTTATACCACTGAGCCTCACACTCACCATCACAATTTCATTTAAAACAGTGATTATCATTCCTTGACAGGCCTTAACACCATCAATGTAATAGGAAGTATGAACATAATTATTAATATACACTTACACTATATTATTAAAATTATAACTAAGTATGTATTATATAAAAATAGGGCTAAGCTTGATGATATGAGTAGGTTGTATTTGTATACCCTACATTATACTAACTAACTCAAATTGCTATGGCCTGAATGGACATATTTTCTAAAATAATTAAAGTCTCTGCTAAAAAGGTATAGACTTATACTTATAAGTGAGGTAATTTATTGTATCATACCAATTAAAGTATATGCCCTTAAATTTAAAAAAAAAATTGTAATTTTTAGTCATAGTGAAAGAATTATAATCATCATACCTACTGTTCCTAAGTAACAAATTAATTTTCTTGGCTTATCATAAATGTCTTACACTGCCTCAGTAGCAGTTGACAATTAAAGAACTTAAATGTCTTTGTTTTTTTTTGGGTGTAAAGTTAACAATTTTCACTATAATGGTCCTATTACACTTAACAGTGTGTGGAATGAATTTAATAAAATTATTTTTTATATTCTAAAATAATTGTTAGTTCAAAACCAAATCACCCAATTTTCATTTCAAAATCATTTCACTGCACTCCTTTGATTGAATGATTCAAAGTTTTCAAACTTATATAGTTTTAATTGTTACTGATCTACAAATTAATGATTTGTGACTTTTATGTTTATACTGATTAATTTTCACTCAATAAAAAATATTTTCAGTAGTACTGGAGCACAATTGACATGGTTTGTTAAACCTTTTGTTTTTTCTTTAAAAAAAGTTAAATTTTAATATTGTATATTTCTGGCATTGTTAAAGAGACGTATAGCACTTATTTAAAAAATGTATTTTATATTTCTTCAGAATACTTGAAAAGTAATTTTAATCTTAAGAAGTCATGGATGTTAAACTGTTAGGGCGAGCACTTCAGTTACATGGAGTTGACCTACTAAGATCCCTGAGCAATGAACAGCAAGAGCAGCCATCATCAGCTGTATTATCATATTTAGAACGACACCAATCACAAGAGCCTGAAATAAAGTTGGTTTTTTTTTTCTTAATTTAAAACTTCTATTTTTCCAGAATTTACCTTCAATACCCGTATATTATTAGTACTTGGTAATTATGGGGAAATATGATTTTCATACTTTCTTTTTAACTGCCGTTATTAACACATGCACTTACCAATTCATTTAAGCCTTCAAAGTCTTTGTTTCAAATTTTCAGAGATGAACAGTTTCGGAAAAAAATTAATGCCTTTATTGGAAAAAAAGCAGATATTTTGTTTCACCCCATATCAGAAGATGAAAAGAACCTGAGAAAAAATGATGAAAATATTGACGGTTAGTAAATTATTTAGTAAATTTATTAACTTTTTTATTTTAGTTATTTCAATGCTTTAAAAAATAATGCTTTATTTTTAATTTTTTTTTTTCGTATAGATTCATTTGCAATAATGCCTGCCTTAGAAGTATTTATGGATGTACCTTCACAATTACGCAGGGACCACTTTTTACGAGTAAGAACATTTCTCTTATTTTTTATTTTAACATGGCAGCTATATTGATATAATTCACTAAAATATTGTAAAATAGGTTTTTATTAAGCTTTATTTTTATGTATTCTCCTGTTTCATTGGGAGTTTTTTCTAAAAAGAAACTAAATTTATTGATACATCATTTTTCATCTAGAGCATACGACCCAATGATTGTATGACAGGAGTAGTTACTTCAATATTAGAAAATGGCTTGAAGGTTCATTTACTTTGTGTTGACAAAGGAGCTGCAAGAGATATTGAAGATCTTAATATTATGGTCAGTTGGTTCAATTCTTTAACTTTTTTAATTTTAATTTTAGTTTAAATTCTAAGAACATTTTAAATGCAACCTGCCCCTGTCAACCCCAAATTATAATTAAATTAAATAAAAATAGACAGCTTATTAATGATCATTTAAGGCTCCATTGAGATAACTTATTGTTTATTCAACTCATTCACAGGCATTTTGTCCGGCTAAAGAGCTGCCCAAGCTCTATGCCCACGAAAGTGCTCTTGATGCATTTCAAGAAAAAGATATTGTAAGAGGTATGGCAACACTCCTTTGCTTAAACATAGATCACGGATTTACAAGATAGCACACGAAGAATAATAATTCAGCGATTGCACTGAATCAATCACCAGCCTATTTGTTAAAGATGCTTAGTCATCTAGATGGTGAAACACTTTGGAAGGCAATCAGGGATTACAGAGTTCCAGAAAAAGAAAATAATCAGCTTAAGAAAAGATAGATATAATATAAAAGGCAGTATTATCCTTAACAAGCAACCCAGAGAAATTTTTACTTTAATGTCCAGAGTAAAGGGGTGATTTCTAGGCTTTCCCCTATTCCCACTTGGCATTAATTTACCAATTATGATTTCGAAAACTGACAGCAACCAGACATCCAGTGGACAGGCTTCACCCCACTAGAAGACTTGGACTCAACTGCTGACAAGGCTCTACAATATCAAAAACCACACCAACATGCAAAATATTATTATTATTACAAGAACACGTGGAGAAGAGAACAGAGAGTCTGGGAGTGTGTGCATGGAGAGACTTTAATATAGCTGCAGCAGATAAGAGAACAAAGGAGACAGAACCTTGATGGCCTTTGTCCCAACTTTGGGCACTACATGAATAGCAAGAAAAAAAAAATATTTTGAGCCATTTAGCTTTAATTGAAATTAAGTTTAGATTAATTTCATTTTTATGGCTCTTGATGTATTAGATTAACAAAACTTTTAAATGCAAATAAATGCCTATTATAAATCCCATCCATCCGGATCCATGATGCCATTTTATATTCCATGTTAAAGGTATTATACTTTCTGTGGGCGCTGATGCAGAGAGGATTATTATGTCCTTGCATGAAAAGTCCATTCCTGATAAAGAGAAATACCCAAGAGTTGTAAGATATTTTTTATGTCAAATTTATACTAGCATGTATACTAACAGGTTTTTATATATTTTTATGCTATTGCCCTCCCACCACCCCCTTTTCTTTTTTTTTCCATTAAAAAATATATATATATATATATTATATATATATAATATCACATTTAATTAAGTTAAATATTTAAAAGTTGTACAAAATTTTTTAAAATAATGTTCAATTGAATTTTTTAGTTCTTGTTTTAAGACATTTTTGTTTCTATTTTCAGGGACTTATTACTGAAGACGAGTTTCCTGTTTATTTTAGGTACCTGAAATAAGTTTTCATTTTATTTGTGATTTATATCCACACAAGTTGAAACTGACAGAATAATGTACAAAATAATATGATGCAGATTTTCTGTCTATGTTGACATTGATCATGAAAAAAAATCTAGACTTTTCTTTTAATTCCAATGCAATACTATAATTCAAAGTCTACAGCTTTAATTGATGGTTCCCATTTCTAGTTTCTTCTTAGGGCAGTAGTTTACAAAAGTTTGAATGTTATTTTTCCCCGAAGCTTTAATCCATCACTTTATAAAGATGGATCGTTCAGTACAAATAGTGCTTTTGGGAACTAAAAAATTTTTGAGTGTGTCAAAATCTTATTTTTTATGACAAAATGCTGACATGTATTCATGCAAAAAGGTGAGTTTTATTTTAAACATCATAATTCAAATTTTTCAGATACAAATTATTAATGAATTCATATTTATTTTCTGGTAACACCTTATTCGAGTGTTAAATGAAATGTTTAAATTTCACCACTGAATATGGTATGATACCACTTAAATTTTAAGATCTGTCCTAAACTGCTCTACTTTGTCTCACAGGCGCAAGTCTCAGATCCAGGGAATGTCTTACCAAGAGATGCTGCACTCCATACTTGGGTTTAACAACCAGGGCAATGTTAAGGCACTAGTAAACCAGCAAGGAATAGAAGAAACTGCATCCTACTTGAGATATCATGCCAGGTAAAAAAAGAAATAATGTTTCTTATTATTATTAGACAACAATTTTTAATTTTTTTACAATTTATCACAGCCTGCATCAATGGACCATGCTTTTTTCCCCATTATCACTAATGGTACAAGTTAAAAGTGCATTTTTACTTTCCATGATACAGCTGGAATTTTTCTTAAACCCTTTCAGTAACATGGTAGTAGTAGCCCTCATTAAGAAAAATACCCCCCAGTACCAGGCAATCTGATCATAAGTTTTTGACTTAATGAATTTATTAAAAAATCAGTCTTTCAATCAGTCATAAAGAAAATTACTGATAATTGTAGAGAAAATGGGAAATTTCAATTTTAATAAGTCTACAACAGGATTTTTTCGTAACATGGCAGAGACACAAGGGCCATAAAGCCGTAATGCGACTGAAAGGGTTTCAGCTTTGCTCCCTTAGTCTTTGTGCCTTACTATTTTGTCTTAAGGGTCTCACACTAGATTTCTCCTACAAGTTAATCTATATTTTTTAATTCTATGATGTCAGTCTATGTGTTGCTGTAAAATTAACTAATTTCATTGTATTCTTTTCTTTTATGGGTTTCCCTTAACCCATTTTTTTTAGATTCTCAGATTTTAGTCCAGTAATATGAATGACTATCTCCAATGTATTTTTAAACCAAAAGCTTAAATCTTTTTAAGTTTCAACTCTAAAATATTTTAACTGGTTTTCTCAGCAGGAACTTACTCTTTCTTTACTATTCTGTTACTTAGCCTCATAAAACTGTCTGTAGAAATTAGAAAATGTAATAAAGTTTTACACAAAAAAACTCTTGTGTCCAGGTTAAAAGTCCCAGAGAAAGAGTATGCTGAAGGTTTAAGAAAATGGCAGTCTCAGAAGTTGGCCCATCAGAGGTAACAGTTTGGTCCCATAGAGTGTTTGGCTTTTCATTATGTTTCTAGCCTTGTGAAAACATGAGTTTTTTTGTATTTTTTATGAAGGCTGGATGGACATGCATAGTATTGATTTTAAATAGAACATATTGAAGAAATTTATGTTTATTACTGGTATGTCATATTGAGAGATGAAAATCAAGTGGTCTCAAAATGATTAAACAATGGCCACGCCTATTGGACTGGCCTTGCCATCAGCTGGTTAATAAAATGCATTGTGTTGAACATTATCTACCGTGCGTTGAACACAGACACTCAGGCCTGTAAGGACTAACAAAACTTTCACTCCTGCTTACTTAGCATCAGATTGGATTAAATTTTGCCTGAATAGCAAAAAATAAATAAGAACCCTTGTAATAGATCCTGTTTTAGATTTCTAATCTTTTCTTTTCAAGTTTGGAAATTTGTATTTAACAGAACTTTGTGTAAAAACAGTTGGTAAAAAAAAAAAATAATTAAAGGTTTCACCCTTTTATCAATTCACAAACATCTATAATTTTTTAAATTATTGGATAAACACAATAATATTTGTTGTAATTCTACACCAAAAAATATGTATCACAAGTCAATCACTCAATTTTTTTTTTAAAACTACAGTGTGGTCCAAGGGGTTGATATGTTCAAAGATGGCAAGTATCTGGAGGCCATGCAGCATTTCAACAGAGCTTTGCAGATAGACAAGGAGAATGTGGAGGCTCTAGTGGCCAGGGGAGCCCTGTAAGCGAACATTTTGTGTTGTACCCCTGTTGACAGGGCTTCTCAAACTGTGGGGGTTTCAAAGGTGAAGGTTTTAGTCTTCTGAGAGAGCAGAATGAGCACAATGTATATTTATAATCATAAAGCATTTAACTCTCCACGAAGAGAATGAAAATTTTGTCCAGTCTGAGGGAGGGGAGTGGAGGTGTGCTTGACATAATGTGTTCTGGCAAGAGGAGAATATTTGATAACACTGATTTATATTTTTATAACTAAGACAGAATAACTTTAGATTCAATATATCTCCTCTCACTCTCACCAAAAAATATAGGGTTTACTTTCCCTAGGGATGGCATTATCATTTTTGAATTTCATGGATATTTATTTCTGAGGACACACAATTTGAGAAACTCCTCAACAAAAATGAAGTTATTTTTAGAAGGTGTATTGATTCCTTGTATTTTTTTTGAGAATGCTATAAGTAAACCGATTTTTGGTAAAGAATGTATCACTTGTGTCAGTTCAACCACCCGGAAGGCATCATGAAAACAAATGTGATGGCCTCTACACCCCTTTGTAACTCCTTTATCACATTTTATGATAGCGGTCACTTTAAGGACCCCATGAAAGGGCTTTGAGTCCATGAGCACTGGGCTGTTAGTTTGAGACCACTGATTTAAATAATACTTATCACTTTTGTCTCAGCCACCTCCAATAGAAAGTGATTTCATGTATTTTATTCCTGCTAGTGGCAGCGGTACATGTGATGTTCAGAGTGTACATTTTGTAAATCAATAAAATATTTTTCAAAATACATTTTAAGAATGTTCAATTTTTGTGTGTGAAGAGATTACCAAAAAATGTCTATCCACAACCCTTGAATTCTGGAAGAGTTTTGGTTTATCCAAATGTTATAGAGCTCTTGATCCTCCATAAATAATTTAAAAATTATTTATTAAGAGTCTAGAACTCTCTTTTAAAATTTTCTTTTTTTTTTGCGGCTTTTGTTGTTTTTGTTTTCTTGCGCTATTTGAATTGCATCGATTTATTGCCATTACTCTGTGAAGTTTCAAAAATATCCTCAAGGTAAGCAGTGCGTAGATGAAACTTTAAACAAAATGTTGAACTTACTTACCATGCTTGTTATCAGCAAGCTGTTAGTTAAGATGGAAAGCGTAACTGACATATGCTCTTATCTGATAAATATTTTAATAGACTACATTATTTTAGTTGTTTGTTTGTTTTTTGTTTTTTTTTCACACTATGCCACAAAGGATGGGCTTATGAAAATCAAATTCTTTTCATGAAGCGTTTTTTTAAATGAATTTTACTCTATGTTGTTAAGTGACTACTGCAATGACATGAATGACTTAACTTTCCCCAGGTACTGGACGTTTGAAGATGTCATAAATGACATTTGAACTCTAAACAAGTGTAGACAAAAAATTATACCAAAAAAAAATATTTATCTTCTTCAATTCTGCGTGTTTACTTTTGCAAGTTCAAGGCCAAGGAAAAAACCCCAACTAATTAGCATTTATTAATTCTGGAAATAATTACCAACCTTTGCAGAAGATAGCAGAAGTGGAAAGTGGTTACTGAAAAAGGCATAAGGGAGATGAATCAATCTCAAGAAGCAGCCTCTGTGGAGGATAATTATTATTTATTATAGCAAAAATCAAGAAATCTTCCTCAAAGCCCAGTAATACATCATGCTAATGATCACTTCAATAGAAATATCAAATGATGAAATCTGGGCAGGCTGACACTGGCAGAGGTATTAACACAAATTTTTTGTTTTGTTTTATGCTAGCCAAATTGTTTTCAGTTCTCATCTGTTTGATAGGTGGTTTTGACCTGATTGGTCATAGAACATTGGCTGATAAGTTATTACTTTAAATAAGGGTCTAAGCAAGTAAGGAACCTCCACGGCCTGATTGGTCATAGCACATTGGCTGATAAGTTATTACTATAAATAAGGGTCTAAGCAAGTAAGGAACCTCCACGGCCTTCAGCATAACTTTCAGCACAGTCCCAACCACCCCATCAACCAACCCATCAACGACCTCATCAACCAAACCATCAACCACCCCATCAACCAACCCATCAATCACCCCATCAACCAACCCATCAATGACCCCATCAACCAACCCATCACCCAACCCATCAACCAACCCCATCAACCAACCCATCAACCAACCCCATCAATGACCCCATCAACCAAACCATCAACCAACTCATCAACCAACCCATCAACCAACCCATCAACCGACCCCATCAACGACCCCATCAACAAACCCATCAACCACCCCATCAACCACCCCATCAACCACCCCATCAACCAACCCATCAACCAACTCATCAACCAACCCATCAATCACCCCATTAACCAACCCATCAACCACCCCATCAACCACCCCATCAACCAACCCATCACCCAACCCATCAACAACCCCATAAACCAACCCTTCAACCACCCCATCAACCAACCCATCCAAGATTTTAATGACAGAAAGAAAGTACAGGGTTTACGGGGGTCCTAGTATCTCCATGTGTTGTTGTGTTTTTTTAGATTTAATAAATACTTTTTGAGAACACCTGTGAAGGCAATGACTATTGGAGACTTTTCAGGCTTTCTTAGAATTTTCACAAAGAAGATTAGACTTAATATGGATTATATGTGGTTTTGGAAAATAATGAATAAAATCTCTTATTCACTTTCATGTTCATCTTGGAGCTTATATTAACATGAATCCATTCGAGTTGATTATACTCTGTCTTGCTGATGACATGCGTTAACTCGTATTGCAAATCTGTTCAATCATGTGTACTTTCAGCTATGCCAACAAAGAAAGTTTCAGTCATGCCATCAAAGATTTCCAAGAAGCACTTACCATCAACCCCAGACACAGCAATGCAAAGAATTACCTCCTGGAGACGTTGCTGGCTGTTGGGAAACAGTAAGGTTTTACAATTTTTTAGTGTAATGATTGTCAAATGATTAGCGACCAGCGTGGCTCCTCTGCAGGAATGTGTGATTAAGTGAAACACCACCCATGTGTATGGAGCACAATGTGTGTTAGGAGCGGGCTGGTAAAAGAGTATAGTAAGGGAAACGCTAGGCAAAATGAGCCCTGTTTTGGAGTATTTCCTGTAGTAATAGTAGTGCTACGGCTTTAGGAGCATTACCCATTCTGTAGTACTACTTTAGGAGCGTGACTGTAGTGCTACTTTAGAAGTGTTACTGTAGCACTGCTTGGGAGCATTACTGTAGTACTACTTAAAGAGAGTTAATGAAGGCGCAATACTGTAGTTCTATTTTAGGGAGTGTTACTTCAGTACTATTTTAGGAGTGTCACTTTAGTACTATTACTATGTTAGTGTTGATACTATAATACTATTTTTAAATTTAATGTAATACTTTAGTACTATTTTAGGGGTGTTACTACAGCACTATTTTATTTTGTTACATTAGTACTATTTTGGAGTGTCATTTTAGTATTATTTTGGAGTGATGCTATAATACTATTTTAAATTTAATGTAATACTTTAGTACTATTTTAGGGGTGTTACTTTAGTACAGTTTTGATGGTGTTGCCTACATAAAATAATGGGCTTCTATCAACACGATGAATGTGTTAAATTCTCATTACAGATGTGAGGACAAACGAAAGCTGGAGGAGGCTTGTGAACATTACTCTCATGTTTTGAGGGTCGACCCCGACAACTCTGAAGCTAAAGAGCTACTCAACAGCTGCCAACGTTTGATTGTAATAATATTACGTTATTTAATTTTAGAACTTTTTACATTGGTCAAGAAGGATCTTGCTCCACCACCACTCCCGCCATGTTTTTACTTTGCTGTCATACCTGCCAGTGTTTTGGAATCATCCGGGAGAGCTGCATATTGAGGAAAAACAAAGTGCACATATTCCTAATGCGCTGCCTTACTTAAACATTGCACTAGAGGTTACTGCTGTCGTAAATCTTTGTAGGAAAAGTTTCTTTTATTTGATATTGCTAGATGACCAGTTGTGGAAGTACGGTAGATCTAAATTTTCAACTCTGTCTGCATATAAATCACCTGCAGAAAAAGTGCTCTCATAGTTCTGTGTGAAATGGCTAAACACCCCAGGTGGTTCATTGGATGACAATGTTTTTTAAAAAATTTTTCCCGTTCGCTTTAGGTCTTCCAAACAGCGTCCAGCGTTTCCAAAAAGAAAAACCCAGAGGGAAAAAACAAGTCTTCGCTGATCAGGGAGACCGCAGAGAAGCTGAAAGAACTCATACAAGAGGATGAAAAAATTAAGCCAATGTAACATCCACACCGTTTTTTAAAAAGAAATTTTAGCTTTTCTTTTGAGATTGTATTATAATTATAATGATAATCTGTAAAATCTATATTGATACAAAACAACCAGACAAATACAAAGCGTCCCCCCCCCTCCCCCCCAATCACCACGATAGTTTAATTAAATCCTCCTTGCCCACCACCAGTTATTTTTTTATAGAATTGACTTTATTTTAATGGCATTAGATACTAAAAGGTACTTAAGCGCCTTGACCTCTTTATCCTCAGTAAGCACAAGAAGAAAAAAAAGCCTCAACAGCAAAGCAAGAGCCGCAGCTCGTCAGAAGGAAGGAGAAGAAAACAAAAGAGGAAACGCAGCAGCAGCAGCAGCAGTAGTAGCAGCAGCAGTAGTGGCAGTGCTAGCAGTAGCAGCAGCAGTAGCAGTAGTTCCTCAAGGAGCAGGAGGAGGTCTAAAAAGGGCAGAACTAGAAGCAGGTAAATTGTTACTGATGTTTGTGTAACAAAACATGGTGGCTTGAGGAGGTCTAAAAAGGGCAGAACTAGAAGCAGGTAAATTGTTACTGATGTTTGTGTAACAAAACATGGTGGCTTGAGGAGGTCTAAAAAGGGCAGAACTAGAAGCAGGTAAATTGTTACTGATGTTTGTGTAACAAAACATGGTGGCTTGAGGAGGTCTAAAAAGGGCAGAACTAGAAGCAGGTAAATTGTTACTGATGTTTGTGTAACAAAACATGGTGGCTTAACTTCCAGTTTGTTCCCGGAAACTGCAACGGAAATTGAGCTTCCAGCAAGAATAATAGATTAAGCCAGTGGTCCTCAACCTTTCTAATGCCCTGACCCTTTAATACAATTCCTCTTGTTGTGGCGACCCCCAACCACAAAATTATTTTCGTTGATGCTTTATAACCGTAGAGTATATGTGTTTTCCAAAGGGGTCGCGACCCACACGTTGAGAACCGCTGGATTAAGCTCTTAATGTGGAATGTGTGGAAGGCTTTGATTCAGCTCTGAATTTTGAATTGTCCAGTTCACTTTGATTAAACTCTAAATGTTGAATTTAGCTGACCACATTGATTAAGCTCTGAATGTTGAATTGAGCAGAGCACTTTTAAGCTCTGAATGTGACATTGAGCAGTGCATTTTGATTAAGCTCTGAATGTTGAATTGAGCAGAGCACTTTTAAGCTCTGAATGTGACATTGAGCAGTGCATTTTGATTAAGCTCTGAATGTTGAATTGTCCAGTGCACTTTTTATATCTATGATTAATCTTTGAATGTTGAGTTGAACAGTGCACTTTTAACAGACAACTTTGGTCAAGCTCAGAATCAAGCATTCAGCCGAGCACTTTGATTAAACTTCGAATGGAGCTTTCAGGGGAGTCCTTGGACAATCTGTTGGCCTCTAAAGTGTGTTTCATAATATGAAAAGTAGCAATATATTTTCTGCATCAGAGTACTCAGTATTTCATGGATGTTGAGGGAATCAAGTAAATCTAATAGGTTCTAAGAGTAAATTTGACTAATTTGGAGGAGCCTACTTATGTATAGATCATATTTACTAATTGGGAGGAGCCTAATGTGTAGATGGTATGTATTAATTGGGAGGAGCCTAATCTGTAGATGGTATGTATTAATTGGGAGGAGCCTAATGTGTAGATGGTATGTATTAGTATTAATTGGGAGGAGCCTAATGTGTAGATGGTACGTATTAATTGGGAGGAGCCTAATGTGTATATGGTATGTATTAATTGGGAGGAGCCTAATGTGTAGATGGTATGTATTAATTGGGAGGAGCCTAATGTGTATATGGTATGTATTAATTGGGAGGAGCCTAATGTGTAGATGGTAAGTATTAATTGGGAGGAGCCTAATGTGTAGATGGTATGTATTAATTGGGAGGAGCCTAATGTGTAGATGGTATGTATTAATTGGGAGGAGCCTAATGTGTAGATGGTATGTATTAATTGGGAGGAGCCTAATGTGTAGATGGTATGTATTAATTGGGAGGAGCCTAATGTGTAGATGGTATGTATTAATTGGGAGGAGCCTAATGTGTAGATGGTATGTATTAATTGGGAGGAGCCTAATGTGTAGATGGTATGTATTAATTGGGAAGAGCCTAATGTGTAGATGGTATGTATTAATTGGGAGGAGCCTAATGTGTAGATGGTATGTATTAATTGGGAGGAGCCTAATGTGTAGATGGCATGTATTAATTGGGAGGAGCCTAATGTGTAGATGCCATTTACTATTTGGCAGGAGCCTAATGTGTGAATGTTATGGACTAATTGGGAGGAGCCCAGACCTGTTTACTCTTACGATTTTTGCTTATGATGTACGATTTTGAGTTGTACACATTATATATACTGTATGGTTTTTTTTATTATTAAGATAATGTATTGAACAATTTGGTGATGGTATTGCACGATTTTCAGGGTTTGAGGGTAAACAAGTCTGAGCCCAATGTGTAAAGATGAACTTTATTTTGATATGGCAATCCAGAGTCAGCCTATAATCATTAAACTAAAGTGGCCAATAATAAGATTTTAAAACTTTTTTATTTCAAACATAAAGAGCCAAACCGGCAGTTATAAAATGTTTACTAATTTATTATTATAAACTTGAACCTAAAATAGATGTTGCATGTTCTTAAAAAGCCTATTATTAGAAATGTATTAAGGTAGACCAATAATTACTATGCATACTATTGAAACTTCTTCGGTGCTCAAATGACAAGAACAAGTGAGGTTTGGGTTTTCCAAGGCCCATCTCCTGAATACTCTTAAATGCATTGAAACATGTTAGATTAGTCAACCCTCATTCTCTCAGGTGATGAAGATTTTTGTCATGTATTTTTGATTCTCATTAGCATATAACTTGCAGCGGTTCAATGTTCTCTGTTTCATGTTTCAGAAAGTCACAAAGGGACTCTATGGGTCATGAGTGGCTGAGAGAAAATCAGAGGCAGACTGGACGTATCCGCTCACCCCCTTCAGAGTTGCAGTCAAGGCAGGAGGAGAAAACACGTAATGCTGATAAGATGGGTAAGCCCAGGTGCTAGGTGCTTGGCTTCGGGTTGGCTCCAGTCCATTGTGCAACTCATGTGTTAAGTCTAATTGACAAAATCTAAAGCCAGGTCTGTTGCAAAGCTCATGGTTAACACCAAGTCATATAATATAATGAAAGTTTTTTTCCAATTTCTTACTTATTATACTTTTTGTAATCAAAAGGCATCCTTATTTTACTTTTTTTTAAATCTTCCATCCAGCTGGCGGGCCAGGCACTTCAAAAGAAAAGAATCTAAAAGAGATGAAAGAAAATGAGGCCTTCGCCCAAGCCATCCAAGCCCTGGCAGTGTCATCCTTTCTGCCAGTCTCTTCTTTGGACTACTTCAATAGCTCGGCAGCTATTCCTGGGCTGGGCAGCCCCCCGCCGGGCAACACCGCAGAACCTCTTCGCCCGGGGGAATCCAAAATGGAGGCTACTTCTAGAGAAATTGAAGGTGGTATCAACAGGGAGAGAACTCCAGAGGCCAAATTGATGCGGAGGGATGATTACCTAATGGCCGAGAGGGAGAAGTTCTACAAGGATAACAAAGACAGGTACAAGAGATTTCGACCACATTCAAGGTCCTCCTCCTCTTCATCTTCAGCCTCCTCCTCTTCTTCTTCTTCTGGGTCACGCGCATCTAAATCTGGTAGCAAAAGTTTGAAAAGCAAAAAGCACCAAGCTGAGGAAGATAAATCTGATCAAGTCAAAAATAAAATGGTGACGGCAAAAAGACGTTCATCTAGGGGAGTTCAAGGATCTCTAGCCAGTAAAAGTACATCACAGAGGAAAAAGGATGATTTAGGAGAAGACATCAGTAGCTCAGGGCACAAAAAGTCAGCCTCTAGAAAAAGTAGAAGTAGGTCAAAGGATGAAATAGGCTCTTCTGAATTTGGGGAGAGAGGTAGGTCACAGACTAGGAAAGGAGCTTCAGGACCCCGGGATGACAGAAGTAGGTCAAAGGTTAAGATTGGCTCTTCAGGTCATCGGGAAAGCAGAAGTGTGTCAAGAGATGAAAAGGGCTCTTTGGATTCTCGAATTAGCAGAGGCAGATCCAGAAATAGAAAAGGCTCTACAAGTCTCAGAGAGAGCAGAAGCAGATCAAGAGACAAAATGTCCCCCGCGGGCTCTCAAATTAGTAGAGGAAGATCAAGAGCTAGAAAGGGTTCTTTGGGTCCTTGGGATGACAGAGGAAGGTCAAAGTCTAGGAAAAGGTCATCAAGCCCTCGGGGTAACAGAAGTAGATCAAGGAATAGAAAGGGCTCTTCAGGTTCTCCAATTGGCCGACGCAGATCCAGAGATAGAAAGGGCTCTTCAGGTTCTCCAACTGGCGGAGGCAGATCCAGAGGTAGAAAGGGCTCTTCAGGTTCTTCAATTGGCCGAGGCAGCTCCAGAGATAGAAAGGGCTCGTCAGGTTCTCCAATTGGTCGAGGCAGATCCAGAGATAGAAAGAGCTCTCCAGATCCTCGTGACAGCAGGAGTAATTCGCAAAGCAAAGATTTACATCGTAGTAGAGCGAGGTCTGGAAGTGGAGGAGGGCGTAGCAGCCCTGGAAGGAAATCACTGATCAGAGAAATGGACACCACAGACAAAACACCAATTATCACAGGGGTCAAGGAACTGGACATGTACCTGGGTGGGTCTAAAAAGCTGCTACAGCATTCAGACATGGGCAAGAAATTTACAACGTGGGAAGCCTTTGTTAATATGGCATCTCGAACCTCGAAGACCCTAATATCAAGAGATAAAAGGCCTCCACCTTGGGAAACCAAATCACAGTCTCCAGTGACGACCGACTGGAAAAGAAATGAAGAACGCTATGTTGAGCAGTACAAGTCACCTTGGTCTGAGACTCTGGCACAGGACTCGAGAAGTGAAAGGCATCATGACGGCAGCCGTCAGGACTGTGAAGATGATCAGAAAGACAGATTCCAGGACAAGTCTGATGAGAGGCAAAGTTCCAAAAGGACATTGGAGGCCAGGGATGCTGTAGGCAAGAACACGCCTCGACAGTGGGGGGACGACTGCATTAGAGAAACGGGAGATGAAAGAATGAATAAGGACAAAAGGGAGGAAAAATCTGCTGAGGTGAAGAGGGACAAAGTGACAAGGAAAGAAATGAAAGAACGCATTGAGGGGTTGAAACAATCTGTGCCAGCTTCCGCCGTGAGCCCGCCAGCAAAAGATGATGACATTAAGAAACTTGAAAAACGAGATGGGCAAGAAGTCAAGGAGTTCACTGGTATTGGGAGATTTGGCCCCAAATTGAAGACGCCGGAGAAGAGCTCACCCAAGGATGCAGAGAGAGCCATGGATTTCATTAGTAAGGAAAAAGAATCGGAGAAACCCCAGCCCGATACAAAGAGGTCTGCTACAAAAGAGCCTAAACCTAAATCGGCCAGTTTCATGCCAAGGATCCTGAGAAAGCCTAAAATGGATGATCCGACCGTGTCCCGCCCATTGATATCATCGAATGAGCTGGCTCAGATCGAGAGGGAAAAAAGAAGAAAACTTGAGTTGGAGAGAGCCAAGCAAGACAGTTTGATGGCATGCGGTGAAGGTGCAAACACCGACAAGGGCATAAAAAGTCAAATGGCCGCCCAAGGCAATGACCCAAGCCTGGGCCACGGTCAGAGTGACAGGGCGGCGACAGATAGGCAGTCAAGGTGGGATGTGAAGGCCCAGAAGAATGTCAAAATGTTGCCAGATAAAACTGGAATGGTAAACAAGACAGAGAGGGTAGAGGATGGGGCTAGGTATGATAAGACAGGAGAAGGGGATGAGAGGGCTGGAGACGAGAAAGAAGCCCCGAGGGATCCAAATCCCAGCAGACAAAGTGCCTTGCCTACCAAAGAAAGGTTGGTCATGGTGAGGCAGAGAGGAGGTTATGGACTTAAAAAGGAAATTGAACCTGCAGAGAGGAGAAAAAAGGATGAAAGTGACGTGTTCGGCAAGAGAGGAGATAATGAGAGGCAGGTGGGAGGAAAAAGTAAAGGAGATGTTGGAAGTAAATTAAAATGGCTGAAGGAAGATGAGATTGAACGGGAGATTGAGAGGAGGGTGCATGAGAGGCTGAGGGAAGAGGAGAAGCTGAGGGAAAAGGAGAAAATGCATGTCGTTTCAGCAACAAGAAACGATAGTCAGTACCAGACAGGAAGTCCCGGGGATAGATACAGGGACAGTCAATCCCCAGAAAATAAAAGATATGAAAGAGAGACAGTTGACTTTTCAGGAGATAGGAGAACGGGCTACAAGAAGAGATGGAGCCCCGAGTACAGTGAAGACAGGTGGAGTCATGCTGCCAGCGAGGGGCCTGGTAACTACAAGGAGCAGTACCAGTCCAGGGACGACGGATATAGATACAATCAGCGTTGGAATCACCACGAGGGGGGCAGGGGGAGGAGAAGATGGGGTAGTAACCAGTTCGTCAGAGGAGGTGGACGTGGCCGTTTCAATAATTACAGGGAGCAAAACTTTCATGATCAAAATCGAGGGGGTTTTCAAAGTTATGTAAACCCTAAGAGATTGCAGCCGTATGCCAGAGACAGGTCCAGGGATAGGGACCGGTCCAGAGATACATCAAGAGAAAGGGAATGGTCAAGAGATAGGGACTGGTCGAGAGATGGGTCTAGGGACAGGTCCAGAGATAGATCTAGAGAAAGGGAATGGTCAAGAGATAGGGACTGGTCAAGAGATAGGTCTTGGGACAGGTCCAGATCAAGGGACATGTCAAGAGATAAATCCAGAGATAGGAATAGGTTAAGAGAAAGGTCCAGGGACAGGTCATTGGAACCGAAGTCAAATGTAACAGAAAATGAAAGGCCTTCACAGCTCTTACCATCAAATTCCAACAAAATGACCGACCCGGCGCTAACTCAACCCTTGAGTGTCTCAGAAGTCGGGAGGCCTTCACAGCTCTTACCATCAAATTCCAACAAAATGACCGATCCGGCGCCAACTCAACCCTTGAATGCCTCAGAAGTCAGGAGGCCTTCGCAGTTCTTACCATCAAATTCCAACAAAATGACCGACCTGGCGCCAACTCAACCCATGAATGTCTCAGAAGTCAGGAGGCCTGGGCCTGGTCCCCCTGGAGTGAGCGCAGAGCCACCAGCAGTTCTGTCCTCAAAATGGGAAGCGGAGGCCCCTGTCCAGGAGAACAAGTCGGGTGTGGTGGCTGTAGAGCAGGACCAAAAAGATGGCAAGGACAAGCAGAGTTTAACAGACTTGGAGAAATTCCTGATTGGCTTGAAGGATCAGAAGAAGAAGCAGTGGATTGCTGAAGGCAAGCTGAAGACAAAGAATTAAATTTGTAGGCTAGGGACAGCTGAATGAATGGATTTTTTTAATTAAGCTTGGGACAGTTGCCACATTGTCCTCAGGAATTGTTGTCACACAGCAAGTCCATAAACTTAGCCTCAGTTCACACGATCAAATCTACATCGAATTTTTGTATGACTGCACTATTTTTTGCGTGGTTTCTTTTTTTTGGACAAAAATAAAAATTTGATCAAAATAGTAAATTGAAAGTTGTGACAAGGCTTCATACAAAAATCGCATCAAATGTATGATAGAAAATTTGATGGTGTGAACTGAGCATAAATCCATTTAGAGCACATGTGAAACATGTACAGTACAGGTATAAAAGGGTCCAGAGTCAGTTACATTTTATTTTTGCCCCCAAAAAATATATTTTAAGCTTTGAGAGTTTCATGTCTGCATCAGGTTGAGCTCCCATCAATTGATCAGGTTGGGCTCCCATCAATTGATCAGGTTGGGCTCCCATCAAATGGTCAGGTTGAGCTCCCATCAATTGGTCAGGTTGAGCTCCCGTTAATCATTAATTGGTAGGATACATCTGAAGTACCGCATTGGAAACAGAGAGTATGTGCAGGTAGAGGACAAGATTTGAAACATAAACATGCAGATGCATCAACCACAAAAGAACTCTGCATGCACACCAGCCACTGTACTTAGATCATCTGGGGGGGGGGGGGGGGGTTGGGCGTTTGAATAATTTTTGTTGTTGTTGGTTGTAAACTTTGTGCTTCAATTATTTTTGCATGGTCTATTTTAGATGATTATCATCACTTAATCATTTTGGCATGGTCCATTAGATGATTATGACCATTTAAATGTAATCAATTTTGCATGGTCTATTTGATTGATTTCATTATTAATAAAACAACTGGGACTTTTCATTACAGTTTCTTTTATGTTAATATTTGCATACCGGTATGTCATATTGTGAATATATCGTTTTTTAAAAAGAGAACAGCTTTTATGTGTACCAGTATGTCATCATTTGAACCACACTGTAAAGCAAACTCATTTTTTTTGCTATCAATTTCTTTTTAATTATTTGGATTTTTTTTTAGCTTTGTTTTCTTGATTAAAATCAGGCCTGGATAAATGTGGCCATAAAATAAATAAAATAATGTTAATTTTAAGCTAATTTTATAATTACTTTTTTTAAATTTAATTTTTAACTGAAATTGAATTAATCTAACAGTTTTTAATTTGCCGAATCCTTATTATTTGGAAAAAAAACACACAAAAACCCAAATAATTAATGGGTAGTACCGGCACCGTAGGTCAATGTCTCTGAAAAGTTATTTTCGAAATTTTGGGATCTTTCTTTCAATGATGATAGATACATTGCTTCCATTGTTTGAAATTTACATTGACACAATCATCAATCCTTGTGGTCGACACAATCATCAATCCTTGTGGTCGACACAATCATCAATCCTTGTGGTTAACAGTCTCGCCAATGCTGTGCCATCATTACTATTTGTATCAATGTCTTACTGTACAGTTTGTATTATTGCCTGACTATAACGATTGGTATCATTGTCCTGTCACAACGATTGGTATCATTGTCTTATCAGGATTATTGGTGTCATTGTCCCATCATTACTTTTGGTATCATTGTCCTATCACGACTATTGCTTTCATTATCCTATCACAACTATTTATGTTATTGTATTAATCATTACTATTTGTAACATTGTCCTATGAGGACTATTATTATAAATGAGTTAAGACCTGTTCTCTTGTCTCTTCTGTGCTGGAGATTTTTAAAAATATCAATTATAATTTGATTTGCAATGGCTTGCATTTAAAATGTTTTTAATTTTGAATTTATCAAACAGGAAATGCAAATAAAAGATGTCAAATGGAGGCAGTTGTTAAGATGCTTTTTACCTTGTCAATGTTGTTACCTTCTTACTGTTGTTACCTTCTTACTGTTGCTACCTGGTCAATGTTGCTACCTGGTCAGTGTTGTTACCTTCTTACTGTTGTTACCTTCTTACTGTTGCTACCTGGTCAATGTTGCTACCTGGTCAGTGTTGTTACCTTCTTACTATTGCTACCTGGTCAGTGTTGTTACCTTCTCACTGTTGCTACCTGGTCAGTGTTGTTTGCCTTCTCACTGTTGCTACCTGGTCAGTGTTGTTACCTTCTAACTGTTGCTACCTGGTCAGTGTTGTTACCTTCTTACTGTTGCTACCTGGTCAATGTTGTTACCTTCTCACTGTTGTTACCTGGTCAGTGTTGTTACCTTCTTACTGTTGCTCCCTGGTCAGTGTTGTTACCTTCTTACTGTTGCTCCCTGGTCAATGTTGTTACCTTTTTACTGTTGCTCCCTGGTCAATGTTGTTACCTTTTTACTGTTGCTCCCTGGTCTATGTTGTTACCCTCTTACGTTGCTCCCTGGTCAATGTTGTTTCCTTCTTACTGTGGCTACCTGGTCAATGTTGTTACCTTCTTACTCATCACTTACTGTTGCCCCCTGGTCAATGTTGTTACCTTTTTACAGTTGCTCCGTGGTCTATGTTGTTACCTTCTTGCTGTTGCTCCCTGGTCAATGTTGTTACCTTTTTACAGTTGCTCCGTGGTCTATGTTGTTACCTTCTTGCTGTTGCTCCCTGGTCAATGTTGTTACCTTCTTGCTGTTGCAAACTTGCCAATGTATTTCTGGTACCTTCTTATTGTTTTTAACTTGTCAATATTGTTACTGGTACCTTCTTATTGTTAACTTGTCAATGTTGATACAGGTACCTTCTAATTGTTGTTAACTTGTCAATGTTGCTACAGGTACCTTCTCATTGTTGTTAACTTGTCAATTTTGTTACTGGCACCTTCTTACTGTTGTTCACTAGCAAGTGTTGTAACCTTATCAATACCTTAGTAGTACTTATGTTGTTACTGATAAAAATTGTTTTAGCTCTGTTCACTATTTTAAGACCTACTGTCTGTTCAAGCCTATTGAGGGCTGGAAATAAAGCATTAGGTACAGTGGCGTAGCTAAGGTTAGTGCCGCCTTGGGCTAGTCATGACTTATGCTGCCCCACTGCCAAGACGAAATGCTTTAGTTGAACCAAAATGCCGCCCCTCGAAAAGAGCTGTTCTTAGGATTTTGGGCGCCCCATGCATGGAGCATTGGTAGGGGGGGGGCCCGAAAGGGAGGAGGATCTGGAGGTGGAGCTCCCACTGAGCTGAGGAGAAAACACCACCCACCACTGCGGCACATCCATTCTGCCTTCGTCAATGTTTCCTCTTTGCTCGCGTCTAACCACTAACCACATTGATAATTCCGCCACTAGAGAAAATGTGTACTTTTGAAATATATGTACTTGCAAGTTGAAGGCAAAAAAAAAAAGAAAAGCGCAGTGGGGCCCTAGGCGTCGCCTATGCCTAAGAACGGCTCTGCCTCGATATATTTAAAAAAAATGCCAAACTCTTACCCGAGTTTCAAGATACGACCATGCATCGCGCCTAAAATCTTCATCTGTTTATTACCGCATCTAACTCATCAATACAATTCTTTCATAGATCTAGTAAGTGGGATCTCCATAAAATGACGTCATGAATCTTTTTTTTTTTTTTTCTCTTAAAGTGGGCCACGTTTTTGTGACGATGTCTTATGAGAAAACGGTTTGGAGGTGGGGCCAAATTAAGGTGGCGACATTTATAATTATAGATATCTAGTTCTTTGTGTGTTTTTTTTTTTGCTTTATTGTCCCCTACACCCCCTTTGACGCTTGCATTTTAAACTAATGACACTGCCACGTTTATTAGTGATGCCACTATTATCTAGAAGTGTAAGTGTACGAAATCAAAAAGTTTTTTTTTAAATATATATATATATAATCCGGTACCGGGTATATAGACCTCTTTACATATTATTTTTTTTTAGTAAAACCTCTGACATTTCACGAAGGGTGAACAGGATTGTATGTATTATCGCCCGCGTGTCACATTGTTTACTACATGAATAAGGGGAAACTACTCTGACGGTGGCGCGTGTGAAGCAAGAGTTGTTTCCCAGCAGACGGTTCAAGATGAACGCGTTATTAGTCTCGCGTTGTCACCGTGGTGGAAAAGGACCCTCCAGTTCAAGTTTCCAGCGTGGGTCGCCTAAAACAGCATCACAATGCAATTGTGTAGAACCATTTTCGTCCCAGCCCAGCACTCCAAGTCGGAGGGGATATTTTCATCTCGTCTCTCAATAAACTTACGATAGAGGGCGTTTGTGACCGCGAGGTCTTGAAGCGCTCTCAGCGGTCAGGCTAAATGCCAAGCCTTGTTCCTGCGACGCATGGTTAGTAGAGTTCCACCGAGGTGCTATTAATTGTGGCCGTATGAGTATGAGTGAATGATCAATACCGTCTCACGCCGAAAGTCAGGCGTAGAGCACACTGAACTAGGGAGATATTGTGGAGCAGAAGCAAATTTGTATTTTTTTCACTACTCCAATTCCGAATACATGACTCGAAATCAGTGATTAAAAAAAAAAAAAAAATTAAAGTAGATGGATCATTAACAAAAAAATCCTGCCTAATGATGTCATCTATCCTTATTTTTATAAGAAACTATTTATTTTTTCCAGACAAAAATTTGCGATTGAAAGGAAATAAAAAAAAAAAATTAATAATAATTTTGACTCCA